GTACTTGAAGTAATGACAAGAGAAAGGGAGGGAGAGCGAGCGAGGGAGAGAAGAAAATAAAGCTTTTTTTTTCTTTCCTTTCATGTCACTAAATTGTGTTTCTGTGTACATTGTAGGGTACACTTTCTGATGGGAGAGTAGTGGCTGTGAAGCAACTTTCAGTAGCATCTCACCAAGGGAAGAGTCAATTTGTATCTGAAATTGCTACCATATCTGCTGTGCAACATCGAAATCTAGTGAAATTGTATGGATGCTGCATCGAAGGCAGCCACCGCATTTTGGTTTATGAGTATCTTGAAAACAAGAGCCTTGATCAAGCACTTTTTGGTACAAACCTATCTACTTTTAGGTTGCATTTGTCTACAGTTTCAAGCACTCTAAAATTGTTAAGAAATGTTTTTGATTGGATGTGTTCACTAATATTTCAGGAACAAGTAACTTGCACCTTGATTGGCCTACTCGATTCAATATATTGTTGGGAACAGCAAGAGGACTTGCTTACCTTCATGAGGAGTCAAGGCCAAGGATTGTACATCGAGATGTCAAAGCGAGTAATATTTTGCTCAATGCAGAACTCTCCCCAAAAATATCAGATTTTGGACTAGCAAAGCTTTATGATGACGAGAAAACCCACATCAGCACCCGGGTTGCAGGGACAATGTAAGCCATCCTTTATTGTTTTTCTAGAGGATACATACATTATGGCCACACACATTTATACTTGCATGAAATTTTAACACACATGTTAATAATGCCTCTAATGATCTCAAGCAACATTGTGCAACCATTTGATTATCTTGCATTGCAGAGGCTATTTGGCACCGGAGTATGCATTGTTTGGACATTTGACAGAGAAGGTCGATGTGTTTGGTTTTGGAGTCGTCGTTTTGGAGATCCTCAGCGGGAGACCAAACTCTTACAATAACTTGGATCCAAAAAAGATTTATCTTCTTGAATGGGTAGGAATTGCATCCCCCTAGCTTCATTTTGGCATTGTTGTGAAAAACTTATTTATACTTTCCTTTGACCGTGGCATAATGTTTTTCAGGTATGGACTCTACATGAAAACGACCAAACTCTGGGGCTGGTGGATCCAAGATTGACAGAGTTTGATGAAACTGAAGCAACTAGATTGATACGAGCAGCTCTCTTGTGCACGCAGGGATCACCGATGGCGAGGCCATCTATGTCACGCGTGGCTGCAATGCTCTCTGGAGACATTGACTTAGGCACTGTCATGTCGAAGCCAAGTTATTTGACAGATTATGATTTTAAAGATGTAATAACATTGTCAACAAATAGTTTTTTGGTGGGGGATGATACCCCATCAACTGCATCCAAGGATAGTAATGTTCGCCTCAACTATCAGCCGGGAGGCAGCAATGCAAGTGGTGCTAACACTCCCTGGATTGACCCTGCGCCTTCTCCTGTAAATGTCACTCAATCACTGCTCACTGGCATTAGAGTAGAAGGAAGGTGATAAATGTCGGGAAATGATTTCCGCATGCTCCTTTTATCGCTTTGTGCACCCTTGTACTTGTTTTGGACCCCTTCCTTTTATATAATACACATTTTAATAATTATAATTTAATAAGGCCTTTTTGGGTCTATAAATTGAGCCTTAATGTTGATGGTCCAGTTTCATAATAGAGAAGAAAAGGCAAATTTTGTATTTGTCACCTTAACTTTTATTCAAATTTCAATATGTTACCTTTTTTGAAATAATTTATGAGGGGAGAATCTCGAACCTGAGACACCTAGGTGGAAACTCAATGACTTATTTACTAGAATATTAAACCACATGCAATACAAAAACAAACTCAAAATTATAAGTATATTTGTTATAGAGTGTTACGATCTTTTCACTATGCAGGTCTAACATCCATAACATTTTCTACTTTTGGATCCAAATATGAGCTTTCCTCCCTAAAAAATTAGGCAACAATTGAAATGATTTGGAGCCTAAGTTTTTAGGAGGGGAAAGTTCATGCTTGGAGTTAAAAGAAGAACAATGTCGTATATGTTAAGCTTGATCGTGAAAGGACTAAAACAACTTTATATAAGAGGCATGTGCAAGTGTAATACTCCGTATTTTAAAAAGTGGGTATATATATAAAAGTGTCGAAGTACTTTTAATTTGTGTTTTATGCTAAAGTTTGATATACCAAGTTCTTTTTTTCATTAGTTAACAAATACCTATATGTTTCACTTTATTTGTAGATTGATTTGTTAGGCTTTGTATTTCTCATTTGCGTGCCACTAGCAATTAAATACTTTGCTACTCTTTTGGTTTTAGTTTGAGGTGTGATTATAACCATGGGTTTTGGAGGTTTTAATTCACCATCCGGATATCCTACCAATTTGTAGAGTTACCATATGTTTTGTTCCAACAAGCTCACCATAAGATAAACTTTAACGTGGCCTTAGACATGCATCCATCTTACATGATATTTTTTGTTCAGGATTAGCTAACACATTTTGCTTTGTTATTGGGACACATATCATTATTAATGATAAGTTTAACATATCATTATTAATGGTTAATAATTTGCACAATGTGTCTTTCTATTGGGACACTACGGAGCTTTTAACCTCAAGTTAGATTGTACACGTTGTGAGAAGGAAGATCTCATATGATCCCTATAAAGGAAGGAGCAAGAACTAGAAGAAGGACACGAGGAAAAAAAAGGGAGAACACCACACCAGCAAGAACACACTAGCAAAAAGAATGTTCTCTTTCTCAGACCATTCCTCTTTCGTCATCCATTTATTTTACCTTATGTAAACGTTTTAAGTCATCTTTCATTGTATTTGTAAGTCTCTCATATATAGTGAAATACAAATGAAAGCAAACCTCAATGGATGTAGTCACTTTGACGAACCACTCCTATACTGTGTGTTTATGTGAATGTTTGTGTTATCAAGTTCTAGTGAAACACCATTATCCAACTCTGTGAAGCACCACCAAATCTCCTTCTAGTTTTCAACGAGAATCCGGAGAAAGAAATCACATACAAATCCCAAAAAATGCATAAGAGCTTACCCAACAAATCTCTCCACCAAACTCATCATCATTTTCTTCTAGTTATCAAGAGAAAGAATTTCAAGAACCAGAAATTCGTCATATCTGTTTTGCAGATCAAATTACCATTTTCTATACTTCAAATCAAAAATCCGTCTTCAAGAAAGTTGTTCGTTAACTCGTTAAATACAACATATCCAAATATGAGATCCATAGGAGCTGTATAACTTCAGAAACTCAGGTATAATCAGTGACTGCTCAGCATTCGTCTGTCAACCCGTCAGGCCTGTTGTGAGCTTCGAAACTACATTTTCTCTTACTCATATCAAAATATTTTCTTCATAGAAATCGTTCCTTATTCTCTCTAACTTAACATATCAAAGTCTCAGAAAGATCTAACTGTCCATTCATTCCAGATTATCAAAATACTATACAGCCTTGAAAATCGGCGGAAAACCATACAGTCATGTTTGGAGCTTAAAAATCCAACTTACTGTGATCAAACAAAAACACTTCATTCACAAAAATTGTTCCTTATCATCTCTTCTATAAATTATCCAAGAAGCTCGACAACCTAATCTGTATGTTGGCCTATGCATCAGTTTGAACAGCTTATGTACGGTTGAGCTGGCCTTCTCAGCCAGCCTCTTTGGCCTACATCTCCATTTTATGTTGCTCACCAATTCTACTCCCGTTACATATGCAAATTTTCAGCTATATTAAAGAAGATAAGGGGTTGAAGAAAAGCATAAAAGAAGGAAAGAGAAGGAGAGGTGTCGAGGGAGTTGTGTGAGGCAAGGAAAAGAAAAGAAAAGAGTGTGAGCAACAAGTTAATAAAAATGAAAACAACTGAGAGAGAGAGAGAGAAGTGTTGTTTTGTAGTTTGTCATCTGTGACAAAGAGAAAGAAGGGGGTGTTTGTGGGAAGTGAAGGTGTGAGAATAGCCTACTGGAAGGGAAAGAACTGGAAGAAGAGAAGGAAAATAATGAGGTTTTGGAAGGTTGGGAGAGAGTTGAAAAGAAAGAAAGTGGTGAGAGGGAGTCGGTTAATGAGAAAAAAAAAGTGAGTTGGTGTGGGAAAAAGAGTTTTGAATCTGATCCACACTAAAAATAAAGAACAAGAACTAATGTATGGAGAAACATATACAAAAGAGTTCAAATTGAAATAATGAAATTTTAAGGAGAACAACATAATGGTAAGATGATCTTTTACCTACTTAGCTTTAATTATTGCTCATATCATTTTATTTGATGTGAATGACGCTTTAGGTGTTTGATTGCTAAATGAATTATTGTTTTATACTTTATATTTGCATGATTATAGCTCGAGAATATTGGCTTTGATATGTCGCTTTACATATGCATAAGCATTCATGCAAAGCAAGACAAAGAGTTGAAAGATATCATCTATAAATATTCAAGTTAGGATTCACTCCAAGGAGATATAACGTATATCTGATATCTCATCTAACGCATACATGCTCATACAACGCAGAACTGCTCGTGATTTGATTCTTCCTCTTTGACGAGGAGATATGTAGGCAATCATTTTCGAATTCAGTTATATACTCCAAACAATTCTTCTATTTATCGGTGTTCATGAGATTCCAACGATTATTCGTATACCAATGATTGTGCGCGAATTTGGTTCCAGCAGTAGGAATACGTTTCTACAATGTAAGATGTAATGCATGGCGTTTGTGCTTGCCACATGGTTTTGTTCACCCAAAAAAAAACCACATGGTTTTCAGATTGGGCTGAGTTTTTCTGGTTTCTTGATTAAATTCCCCTACTATTTTGGGCCTAGCCCTTTAGATTTTGGGCTTTTATTATCTTTTTCACTTACATTTTACTCATAAAAAGGATGTTTAAAAAAATAAAATTTCTGTATTGATCAACAGATCATGGCATCAAAATAAACAGTAAAAAATAGAAATCAAATTTAACATTTAACTTGTTAACGCGTTTAACTTAAAAAATCAGAACCAAATCTGGACTGATTTGATACTAAAAGGGAAACCGAACTAGGTCGGTTCTTGTTTGGTCGCCGACATTACTGTCGATATAAATTCAAGTTCCATGAATACTGGAAAACCCAAGACCTAAAATTACATAAAATTCAAAAGAACCCAGAGTTTACAAAAGAAGGCGGCAAGCTGCAATGTCAACTGCGGATGGCGATGTCTCAGAAAGCCTCTCAGATATCGACGACTCCGAGGTATGCTGATAAAGCAGGCATTGCTTTCTTATTATTTTTTTTCAATTTTCTGAATTGTTTTCGTCGAATGGTGTCTGCCCATTCTCCATAAGTTGATGAATTTAAGGTAGGTGCTCAAATATTTCGATGATAATAAGAATTTTTAGTTTGCATGCGACGTTGTTGGAATTTTATTTCATAGTTATTGTGAAAAGTTCAGTTCTTGGTTCATGACAATCGACCACATTTTCCATGTCTGATGATTAAGGGGATAAATTTAATCAAACACAAAGGCAGAGATCCTGAAAGTTACACCCACCTGCCCATCAGAGAACACTTCCATCATAGCCCACTTGGTAGTCCGTATAGCGATTTGGATTCGTATGTGATTGTTGCTTCTATTTTTCGTTTGTGAATTTCGATATGGAAGAACTCATGCTTCTGTTTTTTAGGTTGCTGGATACCTTAACAGCAAGGAGGCGGCACTGTTTAAAAGATTAATTTGGGAAGTACTTAACAAGGACTACGATCAGGTAATGCCTTTGCAAGTCTATAAGTTTTGACACATTTGTTTTCACAAGGATTTGGTGCAATGTTAGGCAATTTCGTAGTTTCTGTTTATTCGATGGTTTTGTTCTTATTTTTCGTCTATGTTTTTTTATGGCCACGACTGTTTAGAGTGAACAATTGAGGGGATTTTGCATTTGATCATGACCATACTAGTATACATTTTCCTTGTATGGGTTTCTGGTTTTCTTCCTTCCACTCTTTGCCTCTTCATTCTTCCTTTACTCGTTATCTCAGTGATTTTTTGGAAGTTCTTAACTCAACTCTCTCTTTCTAGAACTTTTGTACTCTCTCTCTTTTCGTACTTGATTCAAAAGCCCTAATCTTTGACCTGTTTTTTCTTTCTGGTTTCTCTAACTTTTAGCCCCCAAATTCAAAAAGCCTGCTGCTAACTGAAATTTGCAACAAACCCTTTGTCTTCCAGACAATTAACTTGTTTTTAGTCCTAGTCTTTGAAACTATGGCTAATCTACGAAGAATACTTCTTTTAAGATCCTAGGCACATAAAACAACAAATTCTGAGTCCTTAAGCCCCACTAAATAGGCAATTTCAGTTATGATAGAGGACATGTCTTGGAACTGGTGTCTTGCTTTCACTTTTTATGCATTTCGTTGCAGTAAAATCATTCCTTTCAAAGTAGGACCTTCTAACCAAAACCTTGAATTTATTCATTATATTATGGGATATGGCTAGCTTAGCTATGTGGTTTATCCCAATATTTACTTCATTTGAGTTTATCTTTGCATTTTTCTAGACTGTCATGTGTGCATTGTTCTCTAAAGTGTATGCTCGGAAGATTCATTCAGCTTATTCACCATTCTTCGTTGTTTGTGCCTAAATTCTCAACTGTTATTGGAGTCACACCTGCTTACAAATTAGTATTGGGTGATGGTTAACTTTTTTAATATTTTTTTATCTTATCTGCATGTGATTTATTTTTTAGTTTTTCCCTTTCGTTTATCTGTCTTTGTTTTACTGCCAGCATTGTGCCTTACTTATCGATTTCTAATTTTCTACATACAATGGATAAATTTGGCAGGGAAAGAGTAGAAAACGAGCCAGAAAAGCCAAGAAAGCTGCACCTGCAGAAAAAACCGCCAAAGTTTCTACTGTGATAAATAACAAGGACGTTAGGGAATTAGCTGATGGATATGCTTCGTTTAAGTATTATTCCTCCAGAGGTAAGGGAATTAGCTGATAAATAACAAGGAGGTAAGGGAATTAGCTGATGCAACTTATATCTTATCCAACAATTATTTACATGGCATTCTTTTTTCTTGCAGAGGCTGAGTTCAAAAATCGACTTTGATGCTTTGAAGAAATTAAATGAAAAGCTTGGAAGTATCTTTTCACCGGCTTATTTTAGAATCATTCTTGCTTCATATAGCTTAATTCATCAACATTATTGTCTTGCCTGTGATAATGCAGATAAAAGACTTGGCTTAGTATTCTTTTTTACTTGCAGAGGCTGAGTTCAAAAACTTTCATGCTTTGAGCTTTTGAATGAAAAGCTTGTAAGTATCTTTTCACATGCGGCTTATTTCAAAAATAGAAACTTGTAAGTATCTTTTCACCGGCTTATTTTAGAATCATTCTTGCTTCACTCATAGCTCTGCAATTTGCATATTATGTTGTCAAACATTATATGTCTCGTTGCCTGTGAACCTAATGCAGATTGCAAAAGACTAAAAAAAACCAAACAAACCTGGTAGACTAATAGTATGTCAAACTTTGACAGTCGTCACATGTTACTCGTTTATTTCTGGTCAGTCGGCAGACACCAATTTTTGTATGATGGAATAAAGGTCTATCGAAGTTGTACAAGCTATGGCAGGATAAAACCTAAATATGTGAAACCATGATCTTTATACAGGTTGTTTGCTAATCGAGCAGCTAATAGAAGACTTTAGGAAATAGGAAGTGTTATATCTCGTTATATGGTTAATAATTTTTTGGCCATATATAATAATTTTGCAATGTAATTCCTAGTTATGAATCCTAAGAGGTTTTAGAATGTCTGTTTTTACGAGCAACGGCCAGAACTTGTCAATGTATCCTGAATTTGCTTAATCTGACCTTTTTCTCCGTCTGTTTTTCAGGGACCTGGATTTGAAGAACGCAAAGAGTCTAATTGCGGCAGTGGTAAACAGCTGTCAAATCAGAAAAAGATTCATTTTGAAGTTAGTCCTGATGAGGAGCTCGAACATGAAAATACGTACAGTGAAGAGGCTGAAGCCGGAGAAGGCTATGACGATGATACACATGTTGCAAACGACGAATATAATGGATGCAATTATGATGAAGTATACAATTACGATGAGGGATATAATAACGACGATGGATATGATTTTGACGAATTGTGACTCAAATGGTCAATGTTGTTTTCTTGATTTCGGTTAACTTTTCGTGATTCAGTGAATGTTGTGATCGAATGGTTAACTGATTATCTGTTCTGTTTTTTGAGAATTTTTTATAAGCATTTACTGGTTCTTAACAATTGTATCAGTCTGAGGAATACAAATTTGAGCAATACAATTTTGAGGATTGGATCATGTTATTATCTAAAAGCTTAAGCAGTTAAATGTTCTGGTTTTCGACAACTTTTGGTGAAATATTGTATTGTTCTTAACTATTTGTATCAGTCACGGAGAATTTGACTGAGCATTGCTTGTATTACAATTCACTCCAGAAAAAATTATTCGATGTCGAAAAATCTTAACACTGACTGAACAGTATGCCTTGGTTCAATTTCCTAGCTGTTCAGAGTTTGCTAGAAACAGCAAGGTACTTGGTATGACGGCCCTGAGCAATAATCTTCCCAGTCTTCTTCTTCCTGATCTCAACACTGGCAACACCAACAGTCTTCCCAACACGTAACGTCCTGGACTCGACCTCAACTTCCTCGCCAGGATAAGCCGAATCCAAGTACGACACATTGATCTCCACCGAAACTCCGGAACTGAGAGCTCCAGAGGAGAGGATTGCAGCTGATCCTATCAAATCCACAAGGGTTGCTGTGGCTCCACCGTGCAAGAAATTGCCCCCGTTCACCAAACGCGGGGGTACTTTGAAGGAGCAAACAATGTGTCCGGGTTCAAGGAGATCGACGTTAATGCCTTTCAGGATGAAGGGCTCAAAGAACCTGTCGGGCAGACTATCCATGGCGATTGCCATTTCACCTTCTTTCTCCAAAAACTTCTTCACTATCTCCATGCTTGTTTCCTCGGCTCCTTCTTTCTTCATTTCAACTACCGCCTTCAATTCGTACTTCTGTTGCCGATTTGATGCCTACGAGAGTTTCTTTCGGAATTTTAATCTGCAAAAGGATTTTTTTTGGGTCTCAATCCCAACAAAAATAATAGTTCTTGATCAAAATTATGCAACTCTGGGAAAAAAACTTAAAAAGATCATAAGGGAACAAGTTATCCATATTCTACGGCATTACTAGAGCGAGGGCGAGCCTTAGCGCAACAGAAAGGTCGCTCCTTAGAGCCTTGTTGGCTTGGGGTCACCCTTTATGATATTACAGCATGAGAAGATCTCAATCATACCAAATTGAGAAATCAATTTACTAATAAGAAAAATTATACGATTCATTGTTATTTCAACCATTCCAATCCGATCCTAGAGACCAAACGAGGCCTTAGGTTCTAACCAAACACACAGAAATTCACAAATAGAAAGAGTTGGTGTATATGTTGCATTGCAATTTCTATCATTTTCCTTCCAAAGTTTCCCGGGAATCAAGCAGTACACCCTTAAATTACATCCATGGAGGGGGAAAAAAATGAGAACTTGAATACAAACAGATCAACCCAGAGACGGAAACATAAACCAAAATTTCACAAATATTTTCTGAGAACCAAAACACCCATATTCTTCACAAATTCAGGAGCAGTTTACACAAATTCCCATGTTATTCACAAATTCAGAAACAGACGCATAAATCAGGGATAATCTGATAAAAAAAATTAAAAAAAAAAGACGGAGAAACAGAGCTCTTAATTGAATTAATTAATTACAGAAAGCTATAACAGAGAGATCTGAACCTTGAGGGTTGTCAGCTGCGTCCTTTCCCTGAGTCAGTACTGCAGATATGCTCGCGAGTGAGACCGAAGATAGGCATGAGATGTGGAAGAGGGGTGTTTTGACCAATAAATGAAACAGCAAAGAGAGGTCAAAATTGAAGTTTGGCATACCAACTCATTCAATTGACAATAAAATTATTTAATTTTTTTTTATCTTTTAATTAAACACAATTACCAATACCTTAGGGAATTTCAATAGCTAGCAACTCACTCTTTCGCTATAGAGATTTCAATGTGCTCAAAATACGAAGCGAAACTTTATATATGTTATTTTATAATATGATTTTTTTTTATGTGTCTAAGTTGTAGTAATATTTTTTAACTTTAATTCAATTAGAATAATGGTCCTTAAATTAAAAATTTATTATCATTAATCTTTTAACTCATCAAAACGTACAGCTATGTTCCCTCAACTAAAAATTTATTACCCTTGGCCCCTCAACTTTAATCTAACTGGAAAAATGATCCCTCAACTTTAATCTAACTGGAAAAATGATCCCTTAACTTTAACTCAATTGGAACAATAATCCCTCAACTTTAACCCAATTGTAGCAATGATCATTCAAACATAACTCATTTTAACAAAATTCTAACGAAGTTGACGAAAAAATCATAGCTAGAAGTTTTGATGAGTTGAGGGATCTCAATTGTAACAATGATCCTTCCAACATAACTCATTTTGACAAAATTCTCACGAAGTTAACGAAAATGATCATAACTATACGTTTTGATGAGTTGCGGGACTAATGATAATGAATTTTTAGTTAATGGATTATTGCTCAAATTTGATTAAAGTTAATGAACCATAAGATGTTTAGCTTTAACGGATGCACATAAACAAAATGTATACCATGTCACGTATTCCGTTCATTTTTTACGAATTAGTAGAATCTCGACGAAATGAAGGAAAATTGAGTTAAAGGTGCAAAGTTACGATTTTTTTTTTAAAGAGAAACATGAAAGGCTAAATGAAATTAGCAGAATCTCAACAAAGTGAAGGAAAATTTGGATTAGAGGGCAGGAACTTGTTTAGGTTCTAAGGTTTAATAGCTTTTACATCTAGTTAAAAATATGAAAAAAAAAAGTTAATTACTTCATTTTTTTTTCCTTTTTAATAAATAATAACATTATTGAATTAAGTTGTTAATTGTTAGGAAAAAGAGAATTCATAGAGATCAAACCAATAATAAAATGCATAAATATCATATTACATTTCGTGTTTCTACATTTTAATTATTCTAGTTGTTGAATAAAGAAATTGCTGGTTTGAAGAATACAGAGACTGACATTGGCTAAAGACTAATCATGCCACTATATATAATTATATATACTACTCCCATGAGGCCATATACATTGGACAAGGATTGTCTGTTCTCTATTTCCGGTGTTTTCTTCGTGCTCTTTTATTTGTGTGGTCATAGTTAAGACACGTCAATATTTTATATTACTATTCATTTTTGTTTTATTATATTTATAAAAAAAATATAAAATATTGACGTGATTTAACCGTGATCACACAAAACAGGAAGATACGAAGAAAGCACCGGAAGTAGAGAGCAGACAATCCTTGTCCGTATATATTTTGGTTTATGTAAGTGGGAATTGTCCTTTTCATTCTCATACACACTCATACTAGGATAAAGAGAGAGGAGAGGGGATGAATTTTCAGAGCTAGTGGGCGAAGAAGCCACCATCTCTGATATCTTCCCACCAGTTTGCTGCTTGCTTCTGCTTCAGCTCCTCCATCTTCTGCTTCAACAGCAGGACGGGTATATCTCTCTCTCTCTCTCTCTCTTTCTCTCTCTCTTCATATGATATGCACATATAAAATACAGGAGATCAACCGCTAATCTTTCTCTTTCGAAATGTTAAAAGTTCATCCTCAACTGTAGCCAACAGATGCATTCAAAAGCAGTATATTTTCCTATCGTCATTTTGGCTGTGGTCCCTAATCAACCTAATTGTTAGGCTAAAATTTTATTTGTTTAAATAATTTGATCGAAATCTTAGCATCGTTTAAGAGATTTAATTCATGTCTTTATGTATTTAATGTTCCACAAATTATGAAATTTAAACAAATTTAAATAATATTTTTAAAATATACTTAAAATTTTTTTTTAGAGTAATATTGTTCTTCACAAAAATTATAGCAAAAAATAATGTACCCACATAATTATTAACATATTTTGAAAAATAACTCTTGATATATTTTAAAACATAAAATAAATACATATAATTAGCATGGGCACAAATATACCAAATGTAACGTTTAAAATAATTAATAACATTTATTAAAATTTAAGAATTTTGATTAAAAATTAAAAATTAATAAAATTTTAATTAATAAAGTAGGAAAAATAAATATAGGAACTTAATTTTTACATTTCCCTGTCTGTTTGCTTAGTTTAAAAAAATTTAAAACACTGCTGTTGTTTGGCAATATTTAATAATTCTTTATATATTTAATATATTATCCATGATCAAACTCATTTAACTTTATGGAAAACTCATCAACTTGGGCCGCAACTTGATCGTACTGCATGTGCAAGCTACGTGTTTTTACACCAATGTAACTTGGCAGAATATGTGTATTCCTTCCTTTTCCTACCCAATTTGTCTAATTGGTTAATAAAAACTATAAGTTTTATTTTACTATGTTTTAACAAAACACTTTTAGTACTGTTTACTTTAACAAAAAATGACATTTTTACTCTAAAAAAGTCACTTCTAGTACTATTCACTTACAACATCTTTTTGCCTTTTTGTCATTTTGATTAAAACTCAAAGTTTTCAAGTTCTTTTCATTAGTTTTTCTTTTATTTTATGCTAAGAGAGATAAATTTAAGATGATGCTATTCACATACTTATTTTTACTTTTTATACATTTTTCTTAATTTCTTATCTTCGGATAAAATGAATTAAAGAAAATAAATAGCAAAATAGCATTACCCTTTACTTATTGATACGATTGCGAGGATGAGTATGAGTCTTTGATAATTGATATGAACAGTATTTTCCCCAAACATTATAAAGGAGAAAATCACAGTATTGGTTGGTGAATTATGACTAAATTGTAATTTTAGTCTACAAATTAAGGATCTATTAAAAGTAGTTTATGAGTTCGATAAATGTGAAACATTAGTCCTTCACGCTAACTCTATAAGAATTTTTGGCCAAAATCCGAGGAGTACCTTTAAGAACAGTAAATTAGTGAATTGCCCATATGGTCCTTTTAATCAGAATCCTCAAGGAATTAGCGTCAATAACCAGTGTTCCATATTTTGTTTATAGATTAAAGCTACAATTGAAGGTGAATTTTGGCGTAATGGAAATGTTGTTCATTTGTGATCCAAAAAAATCACAAGTTTAAGTCCTAGAAATAATTTCTTTATAAAATTAGGATAATACTACATACGTTAGATGTTCTCTTCCAACTCTCATTAAAGCGTATAGTCCTATCGGTTTGAGCGGTCTTTTTGGACTAAAAGTATAATCCTATGATAGTTCATTGCATCAACTAAGTTATACATACTTTTAATTAAGTACATAATTAATGCCAATAAAATGATTAATTAAATACCGATTCCATTAAGGGTGTAATATCCATACACCCTTTTTTACTCCTCACATCTCTTTTAATTTTCGGCCGTCGGATCAGATGAAATAAAGAAGATTAACAGAAATAAAATTAACAAGAGGTGTGTGAGAAATAAAAATGAGTGTGTGGATAGCACACCCCTTCCATTATAACGTCAGTACAGCAATTCATCGCCTACCTCCTTTTGTTTTAAGAACAAGGCATCAGAATAATTAAGCCAAGGTGGGTGGGATGGTGATGGGTTCATACGTGGCAGTTTGACTTTCTGTCATCAATCAAAAACGGATTAGGACGGATGTAATTGTTCCGGAGATGATTCTAATCCATCCAGACATATCCTCTTTTGACTTTTCTGGCTGCATCATTCAATTCGGAAAAGGATCCCGGATTCTTCTTCTGGGGATCCGAAAGATATTACGATCATGTCTGTTAATCGTACATTATGCGGTCAGAAATTATTTAAAATTTAAAATTTAAAATTAAATATAAATAATATTTAACAAAAACTTATCGCACGAGGTACGATAAACAGATACAATCACAAGATCTTCCGCATTTTCAAGAAAATGATCCGGCAAATATCCTTTTCCATTCAACTCAACTTGCAGATATTTTCATCCCGATTGAATTTTCAATTCAGCCACAACTTTTGAAAATTCCACCAGAGATTTTTCTTTTCTTTTTTTTTTGAAAATCCCACCTTTGTTTTTCTTTGAAAAAATCCATGTCCACTTATCAAAAATTCATTTTATCGTTTTATTTATACGTAAAATTATGAATGAAATATTATTCTTTTACTGGACAAACTAACAACATACATGCAATTTTAGCAATATTTTAAGCTAATTGTGAAAATCCTGAGTTCGATACTTTGTAATGTGTGTACAATTTCTAATTAGCCTATTTCTAGCCCAAAAAAGGTGAATAATCGTGGTTTGTCATTAGTTGCCTATCTTTTTAGAAAGAAATAAAAAACTAATCAAATAGTGTGTCATGTGTTTTGTCAAACATAATAATGTGATTAGCTTAAGAATTGTCACAATGACATCCTCGGTTGATGTCATATCAAAATCACCAACTAACAAAGAATTAATCCTTTGTTCTTTCGCTATCCAGAAAAATCCCTCTCCATAATTACCAACTGAGCAAGAATGTAAATCCATAAGTCAATTCCTTGATTTTTCAACCACAAAAATATTAACAATCTAAAATTGTACATAAATATTTCAATACTAAAGCAGCTCAATGTGTAATATTACAGTATACAATTCAACTAATATGATCAAAGTCTTGGCCTACTCCAGGTGGGAAATTATTAAAGTGGCCGCCATTTGATCATGCAACTTGGACAAAATATATTATATATGTATATGTTGTCAATATATGACTAAAATCTAATGGTCTTCTTCTACTTACATGCGGTGCATGATTCAGCCAGTCGGAATGTAAGTGTTGGTCGTTTAAATTCACGCCGTCGAGGAGAGCAAGTTCTGCACATGTACAATATGAAGATGAAGT